CACTAACCCATTCCGCGGCACTACACGGCGCAAACCCGATCCGTACCACAGAGGTGGGTACTCTACTTAGTAGGTCAGCAAGCAAATATATGGAACATTCAATAGTAACAGTGTTTTGTCAACACCGGCCCGAATTGACTCAGCACATATCTTCCATTGTCGACTCACTTGGCCCAAGCTTCAAACGGGAATTTAATGGCCACTCCTTCCCATCAATCTTTCCTGAACCACTACAGCGACTATGAGAGCCTTTCCATATGTTCATACATTGTATCATACATACTTGCCATTTTTGAAATAAATAATATTATCCCTATCAAGAATTACCGACTTAGCCTTCATCAGACTGGCACATTTGGTTGGCTCATCGGAGGATCAACTAGGTAACGTTAATAGTCCCTAGAAATCTATATTCGGTTGAGCCATCTCGCTACCGAAGTATTCAGATATACATAAAATTGGAAAGTAAATAAAGCTCTATTAATAGAACTAGACCAACTCTTTCATGTTTGGTATTAAGGATTTAGGAGACTTAAGTTCCTCGTACTATTAAGAGTTCATTTAGGAAACTTAAGTACCTCGTATGAAACCCACAACTAAAACCCCTTGAACCCCGCAACACACCACTAGTCTCGAATCGCACGTCAGTTCCTAACCAATCACCGCCCACACCAGTCATGCCTTCCCGAACTCCCTCGTTCATCCATTTTGAACGCATGCTTAACAAACCTCGATCTCCGCCATCGTCCCCCTCCCACACGTGCCATAGGACCAGCACCCACTCATATACCTATTTCTCATCCCTCCATGGTCACCCGTCTTGATGAGTCCATTCTTGCGGCTCGCTGGCGACGTCGTGATCCCCCTTCACCCCCTCACTTCCCCCCCCCGGTCCCGATGACTCGCCCGAATCCCATGTTCGCGCATTATTTCCTGGTGTAAAAGTCAGACTAACCAGGCTGACTATCGGTTTCAATAAGTTAACGTAAAAGAAAAGTAAGATTTCAAAGTAAATTTGCATAATATATTTTAAGTTTAGCTTCAGCCCTTGGTAATGAGCTAAAGATTAAGGGATGTAAGACTGAGACTATTATCTTTATTGCTCCGCGCTAATCACTCAAAACTTCGGTCTAGATTTATTTGGTTTCAGTAACTAAGATCAGATTTCATTTCATTGGATGTATGATATTTTATTCTATATCATTCCATGCCTCGAAACTACCTTCCATTCGTAATTACCAATATAATAACTCTAAGTCCAACTTAAGAAAAAGAAAAGAAAATCAAAAACACCATGCTGGTACAGTTAAATGTCTGTACCTATGCCCAATCACATGGTACCTAGCTCTCCAACCCATTGAAGGCATAGACGGGGCACATCTAGTTGGCTGGCTAGGGGGGATCATTTTAATATTATATATATATAAAATACATACAAAAACTGCAAAAAAAAATCAAGTGTTGGCCAATCAGTTTCTCCTCCCAAACGCCAAAACGGTTTGCATGACATTGTATATAAGGCTACATAAGTCATATTTAGACCAGCTTTTTGAATATACTCTGCACTCAGCGCTTACGCGTTGGTCCAATTCAACTCACTGTAAACGTTGCTCATAAGTAGTATCAAGCAAACAGAACCCTTCCATTGTCTTCCAAAGTAAACGTTGTTTCAATACAATTACTACGAAGTCGTATCAAAAGGCTCTTCAGAATTCCTCTGGTGACTCTCTGCTATGTATTTGGCTTGAGTAATATATGTATATGGCTACATACGATGTATATTAAAGTTATATAAACACAATATTGATATTAAAAAAAAGATATATTGTTATAAGAGGCGTATGTCTGTTCCAATCTCGAGTCCAGTAGCAGCTGTCTATCGTGAACCCGCATGTTGATACGATCATCCCATACATGACCCCATGGCTGCGTTCATTTGCATGATACTCTGGTGTATATTCACAGTTACCATGGCAACGCTTCCCACAATCCACCCCAGGAGTGCAGGCTCGTTCGATGCACTCGCATACCAATACTTAACCACACTTTCTGACGTTTCAAACGGCGGACTGGGATCAAGAGTCACAAATACAAAAGACGAGAAGATTGCAGCCGAGTACATATCTTCAAAGCTTTCAGATATAGGCTATGAAGGTATGCAAGCTCCTATGAATGAATCTGAATTGCCTAAACGTCTAATAAGATATCGAGCTGTTCACAAATTTTCGTGTGAATACACACAATTATCGATATGTAATATGATATACAAAACCATAAGTAGTTATACATTATATATATATATATATATATAATAATATCTAATACTATATTATATCT